TCGACAATAAGCATAGTTTATGGGCCAATTGTCTACGTGACACCATGACGAGTAAAATATTTGATGCATAAAGCTAACCTCCCTAACAATAAGCCATGCAAAAAAGTCAGTAAAAGATGCTCAATGAAGGTTTATGGTAAAGTTTGTATAATGTGAATGTAATGTATAAGTGAAGTTACCACAACTAAGAAAGTAATAATAAATAACCACCTAAATGAAGATGTCGTTGATAGAAAGTACGTCAGGGTATTGACTTCACTTGTTTCTTTTACGAGTTGTCGCTTGGTGCTGATAATGAAAAGACTCATTGACGAAGCCAAATATAATGCCGGCAAAGCCTCTGGGAATGTACCCAGTTCACGATCCAATTCTGGGAATTATGATAATTACTATAGCAGAAGGCTTCAGATAAGGTACATCCAGCTAGGTCACCCTGATTACGCGTTCATACCAATTCTATACACCTAGATGAAACCTATTTTGGGTACGATAGTGATTAAACCGAATTTCATGCAATCTAGCGATTCACTTATTGGCTTCACTTGCATCAATAAAGATGGTAAAGGATTGCTGGAAGAAAAGTAAGTAGAACAAGTTATGAGCCCTTTTTAAAAGTCGAGGAACATGATGAGGGAATAGTTTGTAGTTTTTCGTTATGTTGATACAGTATTCTCATTCCTTATAATGAGCCCTTCGTAACAAGACGCTTCCAGATATGAGCATACTATCAGACGAGTTTGAAAAAATCAAGTTCTAATTGAGTGTTGTGGCTTAGGAAGTAATGAGTAAAAGGAATAGATTGTTAGTCATAGTACAACGGGATAAACGTAAATGCAGGCGTGCAATGCACATAAAATGAAGATGTCGGTGGTAAAAACACTAATATTGTAATCCGATGAGGCCGTAAGCACGACAATTAAACATAAAAACCTCAAACTTTCTCTCTTCCCCTCGATTTATAAAGTTCGCGACCGTTATGACGATGTTGTGAATCCAAGTGACTCGTGACAACACATACAAAACCCACCCATATTATGAACTAAGACAAGAAGAGCCCAATAACCTCCCCATCCAGATGGCTCAGCTGAGAGAATCACAATTTTGCCTGTGACATTGAACTTTTGCGTAAATTGTACGATTGTATGGATGCTTAAATATGCAGTTAACTTGTTTTGTCATCAGCCCTAGAGGGCACGGTTTATTAAGAAATAGCAACCCTTGCTTCCGAGTTCCAGCCAGATGAATCAACAACTGTACGATTTAATTTCTGTCTGCAGGCAAGGTTTTTTAGGCGACCTTCTTCTACAGGGATTCGCTTCGTTTAACTCAATGGACTGTCAAAAGCTGTTAAGTAATATATATATATATATCATAATGGGAAGAAATTATTCTTTAAAAGACTTTATCAAACACAAAGCAAAAAATATAAATTATCTGCATATCGTTCAACTTCTTATTATCCAATTTTTTTATCGCGATGAGGTTTGATTACCTGAATAGCTGCCTCATTGCCATCTTTACAGGCCTAGAGATAATCAAGGATATCGCGATCTGGTAATTCTAATGCATGTTGTGGTGTGCAATTCTAGTTTCTTGAATAAGAATGCACCTAATATCTATCTATGCATTGACTACATCTAACAATGATGGTAAAACTCTGCCAAAAATGCAGGTCAGGGAAAAAATATAGCAGAGATAGGAACTAAAATAACCCAAGCGAACCTGGACTAAGAGAAGAAGTTGATCTGGAGTTAGCAATTGATCCCAGGTGAAAGCATCTATTGTCAGCACGTCAGAAGACGATAGAATGGGTACACGAAAGCGCGGAAGAAGGGAATTTGGATCAGAACCCATGGAATGTTGCTGAATCTGGTTCATATCTGAAGAAAAGAAGAATACAAGATAAAAGCATAACTACAAGACTAAAGTACATTTCAAATTAGGCAACGAAGGAAATAGATTTATATTAAGATTCCATCTGACCCTATGATTAAGGATCATTGATAATGTTGTAAATATTGAATATATGAGATGATAGTCTCGAAACACTACTTATAGACGAAAAACATTGAATATATGCGCAATTGAAACATTGGTATCAGTGGAGAAAATGGAACTGGGTTAGATGGTATGAAACGGTTCTAAAAAAGCCTTGCTCGTCTTCATTCACTTTTCTATAGTCTGTATGAGGAATTAAAGTGGCAAACACGATTCGTTTGCCCACTGACCAAGAAACTTTGGCAAAGGTAAAAAAATTATATTAAACGCCTTATTTCTTAATAAATCTATAAACCTATAAAGTTCAATCTCACCATAATTTTTATCTCCTAAACCCTCAGTCACAATACACACTAGCTTCAAAAAAACTTATGCTTAAGATATTATTTATTTTTCATATTTAAGTAGAGTTTCGAGACTACCAATAAATTGGTCATATGATATGTATTCACCAAATTTCGTTTAAGGTGAAGAAGGACTGATAGAAGAATTTTCCCACAATGCTATGAGTAGAGCTGACTATTCCATTGAACTTCAAATAGCCTTGCTTTGCCAAAAGTTGTTCTCACCCAGGGTGGACTGCAGTTTCGGCCTCGCATCGGTCTTATCAAGACCCCCAGCGAAAGTCGAACCGTGACAGTGCAGAATGGGAGCTTGACACGCTAACCATTCGACCACATTGCCACGAGTGCCCTTGGGTCACAGGGCAGATGTGAACTTCAAGGAAGGTCAGGCCTCTTTGCCATATCATATTCTTTGGTGGGATTGTCGATGAAGCAAACGTATATTTGCTATAACAATCGATAATGTTTTTCGTATTGGAGTAGAGTTTTGAGACTACCAGTAAATTAATAATATGAGAGGCATTTTTTACCCTATTTCGCTTAAGGTGATGAAGGGCTGGTAGAAGAATTTTCCCACAATGATATGATTAGAGCTGACGTTACCATTGAATTTCACATAGTCCTTTCCCAAAAGTTGTTCTCATCCAAGCAGGAGTGAACTGCAGTTGCGATCTCACATCGGTCATATCAACACGCCCAGATATTATTGTTGAGCGCACTTCCACATACTTTACCTTTAATGATTAGATTTATGAAAAGGTGCAAGGCCTAGCAATGGAATCTTGTTTGGCTCCCCCTTTAGCGAATAATCACATATCAAGAATGGAGGAACGCTTAATGGAAGAGGTGAGATTGACTCCAAACTATTAATTAGATGTATGGATGACTACTTTGCTATATGGCAGCATGGCAAAGATAACTTCGATAACTTCTTGTTCTCAATTAAGCAGATTGATTGCAATGATGAGTTGACAAAAAAGATAGAGAAAGACAATAATTTACCCTTTTTAAATGGTTCAGCGATCAGAGCAGATGAGAAGTTGAACAGCGATGTGTATAGAAAGCCGACACATGTTGGTTTTATCCTTAATTTCTACTCGACCCATAGTTTTAAAACAAAGGTTGGCGTTTTAAACTCTATGATAATTTGGTGAATAAGACAAGCCGATAGAGGCCATTGTGATAATGAACTGGATCGGTTCAAACAAATATTTCTTGAGAATAATCATCCACCGGGTTTGATCAAAAATAAGATTAGATTAATAAGGAATACCTTTTTCGATATAAAATGTGTAAGGAGAGATAAGTCGACCTTGACACATATTTTGCTTTGCCTGCGTACTTTCTCTTTAAATAGATGGACGAATAAGTAAGGAAGTTGAAAATAAAAACGTTTTTCAGGGAAACTACGACACTTTATTCGGTTATGCCCATTCTAGAGAGAAATTCGATCCATTATCTAGATCGGGTTGCTACAAAATAGTGGTCATGTGGTCGCTTTTATGTTGAAAAATTTTTTGTCACATTCAACAAAGGGTGGTAAAGCACAAAGCGCCTGCAAAGAATGTTATGTTCAAAAATCAAGGTTGGCCGAGCACAAGGCAGAAACTGGACAAGAGATTGAATGGTCACAAACTTCCCCTTTTGCCAATTATGGTATGTCTGAGGCTAAATGTAAAATTAGAGAAGCCATCGAAATAAATCGAATAGAGAATACATTGAATGTAAGGAATATCGGCAAGAAGTTAAGTAAAAATTACTAGTGCATAATTAATATGCTCAATGATAGAGGGTGTTGAGCCGCCTGCAAAAAGGAGACGACTCTACTAGTCTTTTGTTGTCTTTGTCCTAATCACGGTCACTTCTCTGTACTTTTAGCCCACTTTCTTTTTTTCTCTCATATTAATACAAAAAAAGACTCATCAACGTAACTAGACATGTGTTGAGCTTACTTCCATTTCGAGTGAAAGTGTTGGGTGAATAGATTCGAAGGTCGGCCGATTGGCTTTACTGGAAAATTCATGCTGACGCTGTTTCCGAGGTAATCTCCTTCGATTCCGGTGAAAAGGTGCTAAGCTTTCGTCCGGCATATGACGAACATCATCAGAGCAAATTATCATCGTCACAACCAAATTCAAGCTAAGGAGTCAAGAAAACTCACGGGCAAATCCCTAAAAAGTGGTATATATACTCTACATCTGGTCTCTTTGATCAAGTATAAGCCAGACGAGTGTCCGACCTTGCGCAATCGGAGTGATGGTTAAAATAAGTATATGGAAAGCGGGTAAAGGTGGGCATCAAACATGTTGGCCAGGAAAAGACCATACCTTTTGGTATCCTAATAAAATGAAAAATAGGAAGCAAACTCCTAATAGCTTACGGTAGAATACTTACCGCCACGAGTACCCTTGAGTCACAGGGCATAAGTGAATTTCAAGGAAGATCAGGCTTCTTTGCTATATCATATTCTTTGGTGGGAGTGCCGATGAAGCAAACGTATATTTGCTATCGCAATCGACTATGTTACTTATTTTAGTATTAGAGTAGAGTTAGCGTGTCAAGCTCCCATCCTGTACTGTCGTGGTTAGACTCCCGCTGAGGGTTCTGATGAGACCGATGCGAGGTCGAAACTGCAGTCCAC